AAATCCGATGGGCAGGGCAGTAAGACATGTTGTTTCGTTTATCAGAAACAAGCGGATTGTGTGTATCAGTGAATTGTACTTTGAAAAAGGAAAAACTGTGACTAGGGCAACCTCCGAAGAAGTTCTCTGTGTGTGTATGTGTATGTGTGTGTGCGTGTGTATGTGTATGTTGGCATAGTTGGCGGTACAAAATGGGTCTGTGCAGCTGGTTTTAGTATCTTCCTACCTTGTTTGAGGCTCCTTCTTATTAAAACTAAAATTCCTCATCGGAGCTCTTCCTGAAGAAAACAGGGCAAAGATGAATAAGGTTTTTTTTCTTTTGTTTTTTCTAATTTTTTCAAAAATCGAATAGTAGAAGTTGGTAGACCATTCCCTTAAGCTAGGCTAAACTGATTTGCACTGGTACATGTAATTTCTGTTATTTTAAGGCTGATGGACTTGAGCCGGAGCAGTTCCGAAAGCTGTTTATTGGAGGTTTATCGATAACAACAAGTGATGAGGCACTCAAGGATTACTATTCGCAGTGGGGTGAGCTAGTGGACTGCATTGTGATGAGAGATCCGTCGACGAAGCGTTCACGTGGCTTCGGATTTGTCAGCTTTTCAAAGCAGTCGGAGGTGTGTTTGGTACCACAAATTTGTTCCAGTTCTTGAAGCATCCTGGCTACCCTCTTTCAACTCAGCAACCAGGAAAGCTAGGAGGCTGAAATTTTGGACATGTATTCCTGCCTGTGTATCACCCTCCCGTTTTAACATCTTCCCCAGGATGCTAAAGTACTCATGCAGGCATGAATAGCGTCAGTGTTGCTGGAAACATGCAGATTACAATCAGGTTACAATCGTAATCACTATAATCATAATGACATTTATAATCATAGGTTTTGTGGAGTTCTGCTTCTTTTCATGGTCATCCTATTGGCGATCTTCATTTTTGTTTCGGCTTCCAAAGGGGTTGCCGGTTTGTTGGAAGCAGTTTACCAGTCCAAATCTTTGATGTTTGACGGGTCAGGCTGTAAAGGTTTAACTTAGCTGTTTTGTAGTGTAGTTTTTTTTGAATTTGCTGGAGGAGAACAAAAAGTAAACGCGATTTGATCCCTAAACTTTTGTTTCTCGATTTTCGAACGGTGGGGGAGGGAAGGCGGGAGGGAGGGGGGAAGTGGGGAGGGGAGAGGGGAGAAGGAAGGGCAAGGCAAGCAATAGCATTCTGAGCTGAAGAAGTTTTGAAGCACTTCTGTCATCTGAGAAGCAGTATTTCAGTGTTGGCGAGTGTCCCTTTGTCTGCTTCAACGGTACTGAGTTTCTGGGCCGTTATTCAGACATTCGATATTTGAGCTGATGTGTGTAGAATGAATAATTCAAACTTCGGATACTTGTTGATCATAAACAAGTGAAAACAAGGGGTGGTGACGGAGTTTTTTATAAAATAACATGGGTTTTTTATAAAATAACATGATTCAGGTTGATGCCGCAATGGCAGCACGGCCGCATATGATCGATGGAAAGCAGGTGGATCCGAAACGAGCTGTGCCACGTGATCAGTCGACACGCAGCGAAGCAAATGTTTCCTCAAAGCGATTGTACGTTTCGGGTGTTCGAGAGGAACACACTGAACAAGTTTTTGAAGAATATTTCAGTCAGTTTGGTAAGGTGCAAAAGGTGAGGAAAATGCTTTGTCGCTTCCAAATTTCTTTTTTCTTGAAGAAAAGGAAATGTTTTTTTCCCGGCTGTTTGGAAAAATTGGAAGTTAAGACCTCTTTGTACCTGTATGAAATCAGGGAGCTTAGGAAGTAATTAGGGGTAGTAAGTGCCAGCAGCAATCACTCGCTGGCAAGGCTGCCGATGGCTTCCTCTTTCCAAGATTTCTTACAGGTAAGCTGATGCCTGCTCGGCTCATTGCATATGCCAATACCAATTTACCATGAAAAACGAATGAACGAGTTGTAGTGAGATTAGTTACCGCACTGCTGGAGACGGACTTTTTTCGACCTACTACTGCATGATAATTGGATGTCGCTTATTAATGAATGGTATTCACATGGAAATAAATGACCATTTGGACGGTCTCGGAAAGGGTGGTGTATATATATTGAGCAGGCGACCAGAAGGAAAGGGGGAGGGGGAGGGGAGGGAAAGGTGGAGGGAGAGGAGGGAAACATTTCTTAATGACTTAATGGACCGAAACATTTCTTACCTACTTTAATAATTCTTTTCATGTTTTTTATCATTTTTTCTTATATTTTTTCTTTAACCTTAAATAAGTATGTTTCGTAGGATTGACAGGCCTAGCATAATTATGCCCGGCATCTGAGAGCATCTCAGTAGCACATTATTAACATAAGATCCTCGCACCAATTGTACGGACAGTCTTGGTATTCTTGGAAGTGGTACTTTTGTTCTGTTACTAATCAAAATTGAGGTGGTACCTCTCGGAAGTCGTTGGTAGAAATCTGATTTATCTAGTAATATCTTGAAATGAAAGTGTTACCGTTTAAAGCTTATTTGATAGGCTGCTACTTTATACCAGATTTTTTTCGTTGCACTGTAGAATGGGAGCACTCTCATAGATGATTGGTGAAAATATCATTTTGTTCGAGAGTTTTGACAAATTGAAGCGGAAGGGGTATTTTTGAGGACTTCGATCGGTTGAATACTACCGGGGCTAAGAATTTTCACTAGACATAAAAAGAGTTCATATCTCTCGGAAGTGGTAAATCCGACTTTTACCGCATCAAAAAGGATATGAGAAGAGTCATTGAAGGTGGAAATAATCTCCGATAGAGGCACTGGTAAGCCGCGAGGTTTTGCATTTGTGTCGTTTGATGATTACGATCCAGTGGACAAATGTGTGCTCCAGAAGAGTCACCAGATTCAGAACTATCGTTGCGATGTGAAAAAGGCGTTGAGCAAGGAAGAAATGGCAAAGGTAGCTTTTCTTGTGCTGTAAGACTTGGGTTTTTTTTTGGTTGAAGTCAGCAACTCGTAGTTGGCAAGATACTTTACTGAGGTCCAACAGTAGCAACCTTCAAGAGAAGCTGCTCAGCACACACCGAAGACTTCAAAACAACCAAAACCTTGTTAAGTTTAGTTGGGAGAAGCTTTGAATTATTAATTTTTTTTTTTCTGGAGATGATCCGGCAGCCTAGTTCATGGGAAAATGGCATCAGTTGATCAAGGTGCTTTTCCGGTAGTGAAATTACAAGGAAACTGGACTGACTGAAGTTGGTAGCATATTAATTGATTTGCACATTGGTTTATAGCATTTGTTAGAATTATTTGTCTGATTGTGATTAGATTTAGTCTAAGATTTTATAGTACTGCATTTGTTGTAGTTGAGAAACTATTAGGGCGCTAAGCTGGAGAATCTGGAGGGCTCGTCCCTCGTCTGGATGAGTGCCTGCTAACAAATACTGGAAAATTTCGAATGCTACTGAAATGCTAATGAAAATAATCAAATTGACAGCATTAAAAGGTTGGAGCAAGACGGGGTAAAGACGTACCTTACGGCTGCATGTGTAATTTGGGTTGCAGTATAGACCAACAAAGAAAAAAACAGTCGAATTTTAATATTTAGTCAAACCCAAAAGAGCCATTTAGCTGTTTCACGTGAGCAAACCGGTATTTAAACTAGATGACGTCTGTGTTTCATCCCTGAACTGTAAGCACAGACGGTTGAATCGCTGCGAAATGGGGTGGGAATCATCAGTACAGTACCCCGTTTCGCTATGTTGGAGGGGACACGCAAGTTTCGGAAAGAAGGATGAAAAAGAAACGAAAATAGATGTAAAGTCGTTTATAAAAATTGTACTGTTGTGTTTTCAAATTTTTCGGTAAAATATGCTGAAGCTCCTTCATGTTCTGTGG